TGCACATGACCCTCTACTTCAGCCCTGCAGTGGAGAGCTGCACATGACCTTCTCTCTACCTCAGCCCTGCAGTGGAGAGCTGCACATGACCCTCTGCCTCAGCCCTGCAGTGGAGAGCTGCACATGACCCTCTAGCCCGGCTCTGCAGTGGAGAGCTGCACATGACCCTCTAGCCCGGTCCTGCAGTGGAGAGCTGGGTCCTCCACCACTCAGAGTGAAAACCTAAGTCTTCACACTGGTGACCTGGTGACACACAGCTCTCTGCTGCCTTGCTCCCTCCCCTTGCTTCCTCCACTCCCAACAAAGCGCACTTCTTACTCACCTGCCCCAGACACCTCCAGCAAGGCCGATCCTGGCTGCCCTGGCTCACGACCCCTTCTATCTGCAGCATTAGCCGCAGATCTTTAAGAGCCCACCTCCAGGTGTGGGGCGTCCCTTCCCATGTCAGCTTGTGGAGGTCACTTCCCTGACTACTCCTTATGGACCACACACCCCTTCCTTGGCAATTTCCCAACTGCCGGATCACCGTTAGTGTGTTCACTGACCCACCCCATCAACTCCACAACAGCAAGGACCCTGACTTAGTTTCCCCACAGAGGCAGAGGAGTAGACTCCACTCAAGTGCATTCCACACCCCAGCAGGGGACTCTCCAAAACCACAGACCAAACCAGACCTTTTCTCCCACCCAGGTATTTTGCCAGAGCATAGATAGATAGAGATACCAATGCACGTCATCACAGAGCTGCAAGATTAAAACTCCAATGAGATGTCACCAAACCCCTGTTAGAGCAGGCAGGGTTCTGAACACAGACCACACTAACGGCTAGCTGAAGTAGGAGTGGCCGGGAATTTTCTTCATCCGTGTTGGGGATACCAGGACAGCCACCATAGAACACACTGAGTAGTCTCTTACAGAACTAAGTACATTCTTACTCTATAGCCCAGCAAATGTGCACCGTGGTATCTGCACAACAGAGTTGAAGACGTATCCACATGAAAATCGGTACATGTTTAGAACCACTTTCATTACCACAAATTCAGAGCCAGCCAAGATGCCCTATCTCCAGTGAGTGGGTAAACTCACCATGGGACATCCAGAGAATGGAAAATTATTCAGTGATAAAAAGAAGTAAATTGCCAGACCCCCAAAATGGCATCAGGGGACTTTAGACACACACTGCTACCTGGAATGAGCCAGTCTGAGGAAGCCATATGCTGTGTGAGGACAAAGGTATGACCCGCTGGACAAGCAAGACCATGCAGACTGAAGTGGCCGGTGGGAGGGAGGATGAGTGGGTGGGTAAACCTCAGGGGATTTTCAGCCAACGCTGTCGGCTATGCTGAATGACGCCACAATGCTGCAACCCGGCGTCACACATTTGACAAAAACCAGAAATGCACAGCACAAAGACAGTACAATTGCAGGTCGCTGTGGATGGGAGGCGTGCTGAAGAGAAGGGCTGGATACGCGGAGGTTTACAAGAGCGCTTCCTTTCCTGCTTCCTCTCTCTGTAAAGCTACAAGTCTAAAAATACAAAGTCCATAGCCTGCAAGATGGATCAGTGTGTAAAAGCGCTTGACACAAATGCCTGTTGACCTGATCTCAATCCCCAGAAGCCATTTGTAAAAACATCAGACGTGGTGGCCAGCATCTGAAACCTCAGCATACTTAGATGAGATAGGAGGCAGAAACAGGAGAATCCCCTGGATGCTTGCAGACCAGATAGCCTAGAGTCTGCAGCATGGCAGAAACAAGACCCCGCCTCAACCAGGTGGAAGACAAGGACCGATTCCCAAAAGTTATTTTATGGTCACCCCACAAGCATACCATGGCACACGTGCATCTGTACTCACAAATACACACACATACATCACACCACACTTCCATGCACACACAGTGATAAAAATCAAACGTGAGATAAACTCCATAAAAACAGGTACTCAGTCTAGGTAGGCATAATGGTGCACACCTTTAATCCTAGCACTTGGGAGGCAGAGGCAGTCTCTTCTGTGAGTTCAAAACCAGCCTGGACTACCCAGTGAGTTCCAGGGTAGCCAGGGATGCATAGTGACACCCTGTCACAAAACAAAATAGGACACCCAGGAACAGGCATACACTGTTGAGAGGTCAGAATGAATGTCATCCTTCATAAGCATTTAGTTACTAAGAACTATGTCCAGGTTGGTGCATTCATTATACATGCCAAGAAACATGCCTAACCAGGACGGGGTAATAACATTTCTGGGGCATTCCCCTGGCATCAAGCATTGACCCAGTGAGTATATTTTATTGGCAAGCATATATTTGAATGACTTAGAGTTTCTTTCTGACCAATAGATGTCCCATTAAATAAAATGTCCCCAACCTCATCTTTGGTGGGATAGACCCAAGCAGGCACTGGGAGACAGATGGCCGGCCCCACCACCTCTTCGTAAGAATTAGATACTCATGTTGTAACTCAAGCTCGAATACTTAAAATCAACACGATGTATCCTGGAATGATGTCACAGGCGTCTAATCCCAGTTATGCAGAGGCAAAGGCCAGAGGGCCCCGTGAGGGTCACAGGCTCTGACCAACCAGGGTTATGAGTAGTTTCAAGGTCAGCCTGGCAGCTTCTGAAGACTTTACCTCAAAATAAAAACATACAGAAAGGGCTGGGACTGCAACTCAGAGACACAGCAATGTCAGACAAGCGTCAGGTCTTGGGTTGAATCCCCAGAACCTCCAAAATAATAACTCAGTGTCCAGAAGGCAAACCTCTGTGCTGTCTCGTCCACCCGGTGGAGAGGAGTGGGCGCCTGTGGGGGTAAGCACAGGAGGTTCGCATCTGAGGAGACCAGGTGAGTGTTCCTGAGGGGGTGGGGCAAGCTGTCAGCTCTCCCCTCTCCCCACCTCCAGGCTTTTTTTCTTCTCCACCTCTTCGCTGTAAGAAGTGACAGACAGATCTGATGTGAAAAGTCTCAAGTCAGCATGAAGATCCGATCCACCGAACAGATCAAACAAGGTCTCGACAGAGAACACGATGTAACGCCAGGTCTTAGCAGAAGTTGTTTTTACCAAGCCTTCTCCTCACCAGTGACAAGGCCACCCTCCTGCCTGGAGCAGGTATCAGGCTGCCAGCAGGCAGGGGACACCCAGTGGGGATCCATATTAGCAGGGCAGGTCCCCCCTCTCCTTCCCGGGGAGTGTCTGCATGCTCCTCCAAGCCTCTGCTCTCCTAGGACATCCCAGCCTTCTCGGCCACAGCAGCACCCTACTCTAGGAACATCACGGGACACAGGCAGCCCCTCAGCACAGCCAGCCATTGCCACCTGCTGCCACGGCCAAGGGTGGGCACTTAGATCAATGCGCCCAAGGTTAGTGCTTTCTATTTTTACTCTTGCCTGTGGCTGTCTAGAACTGAGGAAGAGCAGAGAAGGCTTTGAAGACGCTTGTCCGTCAAAGAGCATCTGAGGGAAAAAGAGATGAGAAAAGCTGCCCTAATTAGAGAATTCTCAAAGGCCGGGTTCCTGGATCAGCATTGATCACAGCACCTCGTGTGATATTTACAGGAATCCTGTCAAACCGTTGTTAATTTTATTTTCATAATAAAAAAGAGTCAAAAGATGAAACTGTGCGTGACGCTTCAAAGCTAGCCAGAAGCAGGGTCAGGGTGTGTAGTTTGGTCCCACAGCCCAGTGTCTGGCTCACAATTATATAGTAGTGTTCCAGACTCACACTGACTCTTGCACTCACACGCACACTCATACACACATTTGTGTGCTTGCACACTCAACAGGCACACACTCATTCGCTCACAGACACACTCACCCACGAACTCACAGGTGTGTTCAGTCACACACTCACACATATGCACACACAGGCATAGCTTCATGCTCATACATACACTCGCTCCATCACACGTGACTTTTTTCTCATTTGGTAAGTGTGACTTCACCCTGCACAATAAGCCTACGGTCGCTGCCGCCAGCTGGGTGCCATCCTGCTCCACAGGGCAGGCCTTAGGAGAAGGGTGACTGATCACCGAGTCGCAAAAATAATTGGGAGTAAGAGAAACTTTCTTGGAAGGGGAACTTCCAGTACTGGGGGTGCTAATGAATAAACACGAATGTACCTATTGTTTCTGCACGGCATGCAATCCTGTAATAGACAAAAATTAAGATCATATAGATACTCTCTCATAAAAGAAAACCTTAGGTGACATGGCTTATTTTAGCTCTCTGCCATCACGGGCCTGTCATGTTCCTGTCAGAAGGGGTTCATTTTTTTCTGCACTAACGCTCTCCTCCCAGCTATTGTTCTCATCCTCACCAAGAACCCAGAGTGACTTTCTGGGGGTGGTTCCAAGAAGACAGAAGTGAGCACCCCTCTGGAGGAGCCCCCCAGCACCCTCGTCTTTCCTTTCAAACTGTTTTCTCTCTTCCCGGGGACTCTGCATGGCCTCTCCTGTCCTTCCTGTGCCCACACCACCACTGGCCGTGAGCACCGATTCACCTCGGCTCTTGGAGACCCTCCCCAGCTGTCCCAGTGTCCCCCTTGGTGACACGGGCAGCCAAAGCCCTGTGGCACATGACATGAGACCAGTGTCTTGGAATAAAAGTGAGCCAAGTTCCTTGTCTTAGTTCAGCGGCTGCAGTCACCGCCCCGAGCTCTTGAC